ATATGCTACCAATTAAACATGGAACAATTTCAAAATAATGCTTAATAACAAAGTTGAAATTCGATTTTCAACTGTTAATATCTTCTAGAAATTTTGGGGAAAAAATTTTCAATATTCTTCTCATACTCCCCAAGGGAAACTCTATCACCCCTTAAAAGGAATGACGCCGATTTCGAATCACCCTGTATGTATATGACCCATTTCTTTTATGAGTTCTACAGCCCCATTCATTTTTCTGAATAAAAATGGATTCACCTTGTACCTCATTCTCACAATCTCTTAAATAAGTCGTTGAGGTCATGCGTTCTTGACCACTGTGCCACCTGATAAATAATATTATGTAATTATATCAGCTGTGATATTAATGGTTGCTTAAATGTTAACGGAAATCATATTGAACATTTATTTTAAAATATCACTGTAGGCATAATTTCATATTTTTATTTTTATAGACGTATGCAGTTTTATTGCATTTTTTGCTATAAAATTCCATGCATTTTATAAAGCGTTGCCCTTTTCTTCATTGATTATGTCAAGTATCATCAAATTTTGACACTTATCTAATGAATTACATAGCCACTTTACAAAATGTAATAACTTTTAGAAATTTTTAAATAAAACAATTTATAATTTGAAAACGGTTGATTTCACAGCTTAAAGTGTAAATGCAAACTTGTAACTTTGTAAATTGTCTATCTAATGACATATTAATATACAGATTCTTCCATTTGAAAAACAAAAGTTATATTGCGTTAAAAAGTTTTAGATTGAAGTCCACATTGTTGACACCCTGTACAATGTACATATTAATATTTTGGTTTAATAGAATTCTTAAAGGATCTGTGCCGATTGGAAAGACGTATTTTTCTGTATGTCTAACTGCTTTTTTTGCTTACACAATGAATCTTTAGATACCATGTTTTTAAGCAAAATTTTACTAAAATGGCTGTAATCTGCCAACGTCGCACGTAAGAAAAAAACAATTTACGGTGCATATGCAGCGTTTCAAGCTGAAATGAGCTACTGTAAAA